GACCCGGGCTGGGCCGCCGCGACCCGCGCCGCTCGGCGCTGGCGCGTCCCGGCGTCGCTTTCTTGCTTCTCGCGACCGAGACTTGTCAGACTGGCGGGTCGCTCCTGGTCGCCCCTGGCCTGCGATGACCCGTGCTGAGGAGCCGCCAGGCTCAGAGCGGCGCCTTGGCCAGTTGAGCACCCGAAGGGCCCGTTCACAGCGGTCAGGAAAGGCCACTAACCAGCTCAAACGCAGGGCTCCGTTTAAAAGCTCGGGAAGACAGTACTCGACTTTCTGAAGAGTCAGGAGGCTTTGCGAGAACTGCTCCCACCAAACTACTCCCCCTTTGCGCTACTGTAAGACTTCTAACGCCGAAGTCGGGGTCTCTCCCCCCACTTACTGGCCACAGATGATCTCGGGGCTTTGGGGAGAAATTATACACAAGGGAGAGTCAGGGTGAAGGCACTGAGCAGCCCACTAGTGCCTGACACCGTGGCCTTCAGCTGCTCTGCCAGGCCCCAGGCTTAGCTTTAACCTGCTTGCTTTTCATCAAGGGCAGGTCAGTTGCCTGGGAGGTGGGGTAATGCTGAGTGGTGAGGAGAGTACTCCCAGAGCTCAGACTGAGCTGACTTAGCTGCCACTGAAGGAAAATAAACTATTGGAAAGTCTCCTTCCTGAGATACTGTACCCACGTGCCCACTTTCTCCCCCAAAGAACAGGCACTGCTGTACTCTGTACTCGACAGTAATCAGGCTTGGGGCACAAGAATTTAAATCACAGAAGGGAAAAAGTAAAGAATTCAGGCTAGCCATAAATTTCATTAAATGGAGACACCTTTGCGAGGTAGCACAGAGAGGAAGGGCTTAGGTAAGGAAAGAGCCAGAGACCTCACTGGGTCCACTGGTCTTCAGGGAGGGAGTTTACAGGGAGCGACTGAGCTCATCGCAGCAGCCACATTTAGGAGGGAAAAGGAGTTGCTATGGCCAGCTAGCTGCGGTAGCCACTTAGCTTACAGCAGCAGGAAATACACCCAGGAACTGCCCACACAGAAGTCAGAAACATCTGGATAAAAGTCCCGGAAGAGCCTCCCAGGGGTTCAGTCTCCGCACTATGAAGCCCTCTGCAGCTACTGCAGCACCCACATGTCACCTCAGACCTCTTGTCTTGCCTGAGGGTTCCCCCAGCACTATATTTCTGTCAATCTCCTATTCTGTTCCCCACTGTCTCTGGTGAATCTACGCACAGCCTGCCTCCCACAGCCCCCTTCACACCATGGCTCTTGCATGCATGCATAAATAAAATCCTGTTTAAAAAAAAATTCCTGTAGATTGATTTCCTCTTTATTGATAGAATCAATGAACATCCCTGGCAGAGAAGGCTGCAAGGATCCAACAAAGCACATTTGGAAGTGAAATCAAGATTTCAAACTGAAACCTCAGTCTTGCTCATCCAGTTTTTGGAGATAAACAGCTTGGGTCAAAAATTTTAAAAGGAAAGGCCAAACGGGAAAAAAAAAATCAACTAAGATAAGCTACCAGGTTAATCAGGATGGACCAATACTATTCATTTTCTTCTCTAAACATTTTACTTAAGTGCTTGACTAGCGCTACTAGCTCAGGGTTCCCGCCACAGGCCTCGATCTGTTTGTAGACTTTGGACTCAAGCTCTTTGAGAGTATTTTGAGTATATTCAAAAGAACCTATATCTTCAAGGTAGTGGACGCAGTACTTTTTGATATCTGTGTTTTCGGTCCTCTGGCGCAAAATGTTCTGCACTTGGGTGCTTTCAGGTCGCGACCAAATAGCATGAATGGTGGGGAAGGAGAACTTCCCTTCCGTGAGATCTTCGCAAAAGCTTTTGTTTTCACTATATTCTTTGGAGTGTAAATTGGCATAATCATCCCTAATTTGGAAAAAGAGCCCAAGTGTATCAAGTAGAGGCTTTAAATCTTCTTTATAATCAGAGAACACCTGCATGAGACCTACCGCCAACCCGAACAGCCCACCTGTCTTTTGCAGCACCATAGCTTTATATTCCTCTTCGGTGGGACATGTGTAATTATCCCTCCAGTAAATATCCAGGCCTTGCCCCTGATGGAGTTCCAAAAGCTGGCGGGTAAAAATCTTGACTGCATCTGGGTGATCGAGAGTTAAAACTTTCTCTAGACCAAGGAAATACACGTAATTTGCAGAATTGATGACAGATGGAATTCCATAAATGCTGTGTGCCACGGGAAAGCCACGTCGAAGTTTTGAGTTGTCTTCAATATCATCAATGAGTAAACTGGCATTATGCAACATTTCTGTCACTTCAATGATGATCTAAGGGGGGAAATCGAAAATTACCACTAGTAATTATGTAAAGCATAACATAAAGTGCTACATGAGTATGAAATGGAATTAAGAGGGCCTCCCTGGTGGCCGAGGGGTGAAGCCTCAGTGCTCCAGTCTGAGTTCAATTCCTGAACAAGGAGTGGACCCACAGGGTGCAGCAGACCACTCCAAGATGGCCTGCCTGCACCTCCCCTTAGCAGTGTGTTTCAGTAAAATGCTCCTGGCTTCCCTTTCTGTCTTTGGTGAATCCCATCAACCCCCACACCTCTGGCCTATACCCCAGTTCTTCTACGCAAAAGAAAAATGAAAAACTGGTTTAGGAATCACGAGTATTTTTTGCATGACATTAATTAATTACATGGGGATTAAGAAAAAGTTAGGAGAGTTGTCTGAATGAATACCTGTAGTTTGTCTTCTGGAACTTTTAGCCAATGATTAAATGCCTGTGAAAGTTTGGTTCTCACTTGTTTACCTATAATGAAATAAAAAAATTGACAATAAAATGAACATTTTAATCAAAAGAAGCAAATTCAGGAACTTTTTATTATAAAACTGATAGGAATGGAAAAATCCAGCCTATCAACCCATTCCTCATAGTAATCTGCCATGGCTGGGTTACTTTGTTGAAGTGAAATGTATACTCAAAATCAGCAATGAATTTCAAAATGAATTTCAAAGAACTTCAATGTCTCACTGAAGCTTACTCTTTTCATCTTGTAGCAAAATGTGGAATGGGGGTTTATCATTAGGGACCACGATATTAATCCATTTCTTTCTGGAAAGGAAGTCAATCTAGTTAGTGGCAGTTAACTGCTTACTGCAGAAAATTACAGGTATTTACAGTGACATGTACTTTGATGTTAATGATCTCATAAAATTACCTTTTAAAATTATTTACCATTCCTTAAGATGATTTCCATACCTTGCATATTACCTTTTCACACCCCAAGTTTAGTCAAAAGTTAATCTCTTTATTTTGACAAGGGCCGTTAGCTTTTCCAAACTAGTTTTCTCTTAAATGGAAAGCTCAAAAAAGGTTACCATTAGTTGTTTTAGGTCAGTATAAAGAATGGTAGGTGGAATACTACAACCAGTTCATCTAACAAAAATGTTCTAGGAGCTTCCCGCTAAAGTGAATCCGGCCTAATTTAGATTAGGTTTCAGGGAAATAATTACATAAGTAAGCAAAAACAGTGCTTTATAAGTCTTACCTATATTTTCCCTGCACTTGTCATCCCAACACAAGTTCTCAGCATATGTTTAAGGTGATAGAATTTCACTTTCTGTGAGAAGTCTAGAAGGGAAGGCTCTCTGGGTTCTAGAAGCTCTATTTTTTGTTTACTAACTCTTAAGATGGCCTGGTAGCAATCACCTTATTATATAATTTTTCTAGCTTTCAATTTAACAGATGTCACTCTTTTGCACAACTGTGCAAAGGAAAATAAAGTTTAGGGCTTCCCTGGTGGCATAAGGGGGTAAGTCTCAGCACTATCAAGCAATCAGCAGCCACTGCAGTATGAGTTCAACCCCTGGCCAAGGATCTAACCCATCTGGGGAGGCAGACCTCTAAAAGGAATCTGGCAGGTGGCAAAGCGTGAAGAGAAGGGGGTCCAAGTTCTCTATTATATACAACCAAATCACACAAAATGAAAGACTACGCTCCCTGGAGGATGACTGGATGGCCATGCTCTTTGTGAAGGACACAACAGCAGAGACAGTAGAAACTTGGTCCTACATGGGCCATATGTTTGTTACCTGGTAGCTGAAGTAAGTATTTATAGGGTTCCAGAAGAATTCTTTGGACAGTTTCTTGAGTCTTCTCCATTGTTTTGAAACAGCAAAGCTGGTCTGGCAAAAGGAGAAACAACAACAACAAAAAATCTCATTTAATTATCTTACTCATACTGCAAAGGGATTTTTATTTCAAGTTATTTTTGGACAGGCAGATCTCCGTTTGATTTTAAAACAGAATTCATACATTTGAAATCTTGAAAACATTCTATGAGGTGAAGGAGACAGTCACAAAAGACCATGTATTGCATGATTCCACATATGTGAGGTTCCCAACAGGGAAGTTTCTGGATAGGAGAGTAAACTTCACGGAGCTACTGCTGATAAGTACAAAGTTCTGCTATGAGGGATCAAAAAGGTCCTAACATTTAGACTGTGATGACAGTTGTTCAGTCAGTGAAATACTAAAAACCACAGAACTGTGTGTTTCAGAGGGGTGAGCTACAATATGTGAGCTGTATCTCATTTAAAAAGAAAAAGGGAAAGTCTCCATTCAAGTGATCACTTGGGTTAAAAATTCACCTGAGTCTTGGCCCAAACGTTACAGTAAGTCTTCCCTAAAGACTTACATTATTTACATCAAATAAATGTCAAAGCAAATCCACTGTTTACATAGATAAGGTTTTTCTATGAGCATGTTTTATACACCTAAAATTTAAGAACATCTCTCCTGTATTTTGTCTACAGTCAACTCAGAGATACTGATTGAAGACACTAATTTGAATGCAATTATAAAATTAAAATACTCCTCTGTAGTGAGTTCTTACTCTCATTTTACATTATTGTAATATACCCTAGACCACTACTCATGTGCTTCGATCGTCCTTCACTGCTGAACCTCTACGCTCCGGTGTGCAAGTTGCTATTTTATTTGTCCTCATGTTGCAACGGGGCAACTGAGGCAAAAGGAAGACCAGACATGGTGCCAGAGGGAAGGATGGCACGGCCACCACCTATGGGGCTCTGAGCCCCGAAAGCCCCCCAAGGCCAAACACAAAACCAGGGGCTAAGGCCGAAGGAAAGACATGCCTGTTCAGAGGACAGTCTCACCCATGCACAGAACTGCGAGACCTGAGGCTCCAGCAACAAGCCAAGGGGTTTATTTCACATCAGGTGAAGTGGCGGTTACTTCACTCAGACAGTGTCAGTTACAGTCGCTGGACATATTAGCCAGTGCTGATGGCCACGACCAGACCGTCGGTGGCAGCTTCAGAGACACCCAGTGTTAACAGCTCTGGGCCTTTGTGTCCCATCAGGCAACGTCCCTCTTGGGCAGACAGTTCCTCGGCTTCTCCTCTGCTGTGCAGGGCAGCTGCTGGCAGCTGCTTTACCCACCTTGAGCGCTGGGAATGGCCCCCTCTTCACTGCCCCTGGGGCGGGGTCCATCCATCCAGTGCCCACCCTGAGTCTGACTGGCCAAGGCCAGTGGCTGACTGGCCCTGGGCACCCGTTGCTCGCAGCTTGCGCCCAGCTGGTCCACCCAGATCCGGGTTCTGGGTGTCTGCACTCAGCGCCCTGTGGGGCCCCAGCTGCAGCAGAGGGCTGTGTGCAAAGGCAGCTGCTCCTGCAGGCCAGGGCCGCCTCGTCTGGCACAGCAAGGCACTGACAGTGTCAGCACGTTCTGAGGTCCCTGCAGAACTTCCTTTCGCTTCTTAGGACCGACTTGTCCCTAGACTCACGCGTCTGAGGACTGGAAAGTGTGTGTTTGTAGTTTGGAGTATGTAAGTGAAACAAAATAGTCAGCACCCACCAGAGGAAATGATCTGAGCACTATCAGAGAGAGATATTCCATACAGAAAATTAAGCTATCTAACTTGATCAACAATTGCTAGTGTGTCAAAAGGGGGAAGAAGGTCAGAAAATTGAGACAAATGGATGCCAATTTAGTGACCTATTACTTATGCGTCAAGTCTCCTATAGGCTACCTCAACCTTCAGAGGTTAAAGAAAAAACAATGACAAGGTCAGAGAATAGCCCCGTGGGTAAAAGATTGTTAATGAACAGAACCAAGGTAAATTTTTTAAAAGATCGCAGTTACTTTAAATGAGCCAGTAGCCTTGGTTTTCCAAGTAGGTCAGGTCAGGGCTAAAAGTAATGTTTATCTTTTTCACAACTCCAGCTACACTTACGTGGCTCAATCCACAAATCAGATAAATTTTCAAGACCATCTGCCTGGATCATCAACAACTGCTCTTGGTGGCACTAAAGTCAGAACTAACCTTTATTTCCATTCTTAGTTTGCCTGAGGTACTTTTCAAGTTAAAACGCTAACTATGAATGTAACTTTGACAAATGATTCTTTCTTCACTCAACTAAGTTTGAAAAGATTCACTTCATAAAAAAAGCCAACGTTGCATTCTGGGAGAATGTCTGCACACCAAGTATCCCCAAAGTGGAAAAGGGAAGAGCCTCGATTTTTCTAGATTCTGAAAGCTGATGAGTATGGGCTTTACCGTGGAAGGGACCCCACACCGCGCAGGATATCCTCACTCTGAGCTGCCTCAACTGAAGGCAGCTGAACTTGCAGCTACCACCTAGCAGACCTAGAGGAGAGGCATCGTGTCACAGGAAATGTGCTAACTTAAGGACTGAACGGACCCTCTGGGAGGGCCTGAAACGAAAGACAGGAGCCTGCCTTTGGCTGAAATCTAATGAATATATTCTCTTAAGCTTAACAAATGTGTCTTACTAAGATGGAAAAAGGCACAAAATGATGTAAAAACAAGCTATATATATATATATATATATATAAAAGATTTGTTTTACTTAGGCGCAAAGAGCTGAGGGACAGCCCAGAGATGGAGGGTTGAGTGGACGCCCCAGAGACAAAGTGGGGCGTAGAACAGGTGAAATGGCTGAGACCCACTGCTGAGGGGGCGGCGGGGAGGGTGGGGTCCCTCCGTGGCCCGGGAAGGACGCGGGCTGCAATAGCCTCAGACAGCTCCGTGCAGACAGCTCCTTAGCGCTGGGACTACCTCCTGTGCCCCCAAAGCAAATGGTCCCCCCAAACGGGGTACGGCCCAACGCCTCCTACTTGGGACCCCTGATTTGGCCTCCCGCGAGCGATCCCGAGACTGTCGCCCCCAGTCGCAACCCCCTGCCACCCGAGGCCTCTCCAGACACCCGCCGCTGGGACGAGCCGCAACCTGACGCCCGCCCCGCGCGGCGCGGACCCCGCGCACCTCCCGGCCGGGGTCCCCA